TGGAGCCCAGCTGCACTGGGCACTATGTGTACATACACTAACTGACAGATCCTGCCCCAAAGAGTATATGACTTCAGGAGTGGATACCTCTACCATCACCACCACTTTGCAGGTCAGTAGCAGGACATTGGTCCAAGGTCATATAAACATAGAGAAAGGACCTCCAGATGTCATCTAGTCCAACCCCCTGCCTGAGGCAGGATCAATGCTATCCAACAATTCTAGACAATCCATAGGCTAGCCTCTTAGCAAAACTACTGCAAAACCTGATACAGCACAAGACACTACACCCAAACCTGCCATGGGAAAAGCAGGGGAAACACAGCAGCCGACATCCCATTTCTATAAAAGGTTGTTAATATATGCTTAAGAGAACTCAAGCAGGGGGCATACCCACAGGTACAGAGGAAGGCAAGACTCCCACAGTCCATCTCAATCTGACCATCAGATAAAATTCCTTCCTGACTCCAAATGCAGCATTGGTCCGACCACAAACAGTGAGGAAAGACCTCTAGCCAGAAACCTCTGGGTCTGAGTCCCAGCAGGAGCCCTGGCACAGCCCAGTTACCATCCCCAGCCTGGGCTACAGCCAACATCCAATGACTCTGAGGAAGGCTTAAAATCCCCCAGACACATGTAGCAGCAAAGGGGGTGGAGGGGTGTGAAATTCCCCCCATGCAGCAACCAGCAAAGCCCAGAAGCCTGGGAAATCCCCATAGAAGAACACAGGCATTGTTACACCTCCATCATTCCTGACCAGTGTCTGTCCAACCTCTCCTTGAACCCCTCCAGTGATGGAGAGCCTACAACTCCCCTGGGCATCTATTCCTCTAATACTGAAGACATGTTTCCTGATCTCCAATCTAAACCTACTTTGCTGCAACTTTAAGCCATAAGTCCATGTCCTGCTCTCTGCAGCAAGAGACAAAAGGTGTCCTCCCTTTTCTTCTTGGCAGCCCTTCAAGTATTTGAAGATTGCTATTGTGTCCCCTCTTAAGCATCTTTTTTGCAAGCTGAACATCACCACCTCCTTCAGCCACTCCTTGAAGGACCCCTCCTCTCCCTTCCAAGCCCTTGATCATTTTTGTCACCCACTCCTGAACCCTCTAACTTCTCTATGACCTTTTTAAAATGTAGAGTCCCAAACTGCACACAGTGCTCTAGGTGAGGAGCACTGTGTGCCTAACTAGTCTAGAGTAGAAAGGCACTATCATCTTCTGTGATAAGAGGGACTGCCAGTGACACAGCCAGCAAGCCTGACCTCCATCCTCAGGCCACCCTTTAGCTCAGGAATGCTAAGCACATGGCCCTGCTTGCTGGAAGGAAGGGCTTTGTGCAGCTTCCCTCACTCTTACCCATGGTCGGGGACATGAAATTCTGGGAGAGGTTCTGTGGGTTCTGCAAAGCTGCTCTCACAATGAATGACTCCATCTTCGCTAGCAGGACAGTTGCTGCCACAGCCTGGTCATCCTTGTGCAGCTCAGATGTGGCATTGAAGAGTTTTTCAAAGGACTCAGAGGCATCCTGGGGTTTAGAAAGGAAGCAGCTTGTGTCAAGCTAGGGTTGTCAGATGCTAGTCCCTGGGTCACTCAGAGATGACCTAGCAGACATCTCACAGACCCAATGGCCTTCCCCATCACAGAGGCTAAGTACTGACAGTCAAAAAGCCTGAGGTTGAATGGATTCAATCTTTTCAGGTTAATCTAAGCTGTGCCGATTCAACTGATATGCAAATGACCAGACATTCACTTTTGATTCCACAAATGCAGCCACACGCCTGCAGTGGCCCAGGCCAGAAGCTGAGGGGAGGCTAGAGCACACCTCCCTGCTTGACTAGAGCAGACAGCTTGGGCCAAGGCTAGCCTGACCACCCTGTGAGGGGGGGAGGGGGTTTGTAGGGAGGTGCAAGGCATCCTGGGATGCTGGGGGACTGAGAGTTAACTTGAATCTGGAGGGGATCTGAGATAGAAGCTCAATAAACCAATTTAACTAAACCAATTTAACTAAATCAGTTAAGTCTAATACTGCATCCATCCAGATTTATCTTAAACCAGTTTTGGTCATTTTAAAAGCAGTTTATGTGCACTGAGCTTCTGTTGTATTACAGATTTGAACCAGTTTCCAATCACTTATACCAATTTATGTGTAATTTCTGACCCTAGCCAGAATGCTTAGGAGCTAGTAGCTTGGTGCTAGGGTGTTCTTATAGGAAACATTTAAGCCATTTAACCTTTAAACCATCTGTAGAACATTAAGGGAGGCAGGGCCGCATGCCTGGCCCACAGCCCAAGGGCCAGATCAGGGCTCTTGGGTTCCATGGAGCCATCAGCAGGGTGCTATGTGGGCTGGGGTGGGTGGGGGTGTTGGCTTGGAGCCAGTACTACCCCCTGGGTTTGGGGAGTGGAAGGTTTCTCAGGGGTACAGGAGCTGGGAGCCATGCATCCTGGGATGCTGAATGACTGCAATTTGGTCACTTGATCTCCATGGAGCAGATGAACCATACCTTAGCTTGAGTTAGGTAGAATGGCTCAAAGATAACCCTTGCCTGAAACAGCATACCTTTAAAATGTAAGTCGTTCTTTATACAAGATGTAAGTCATTCTTTATACAAGTTCCAGTCAATAAAGTGCTGTTTCCACACAGACAGCCTTTGAGAGTACTTCATACAATTGGACTCTCTTTAACGTGTGGACACGTCCATTTTAAGTGTTTTTAGAATGGTTTAAAGAAAACCTGTAACGCCACCCATAAGCATTCTTTCTAGGGCTGTGCAAAGCTTCAGGTGGTGATTTGATTCAGAGGAGATTTGGCCCGATTCAGTGGCTGAATCTCTGAATCTGAATCAAATCAGGGGACCAATTAAAAGGTCCAAATCGATTCGAAGCTCTCTGAATTTTTGGAAAAGATTCAGAGAGCTTCGATGATTCAGACAGTCCCCGGTGGCTGCAGCACGGAGCTGCAGCCGGACTCAGAGCTCGTAAGTAGGGGGCAGGGGAGGGAGGG